GTCTCACTCTTTGCTTACTGGGTGATGATCTTTGCATGCTGGCCTCTGTGTTTCTGTGGTTAACAGAAGCTAACACCTCTGTAGTTGTACAGTTTCCTTTTCATGATTTTAAAAAAGTCACCTGCAGCTGTCGGTCGATGAGGTGTTAGAAAAAAAAAAATACTTACGTAAAGTCAACTTTAAAAACTACTTTTATTCATAGTTTGCTTTTAGTTTTAGTTTTACTCAACATTTAACTGACTTTACTGCTTTATATTCATGTCACACCAACATTTTGTGTGTTTTGTTGTGCAGAGAGTGATGCAGCAGTAATCTACTCAGCAGTGAGAACAGAAGACTTCAGTTATGGTCGAACCATCATCAAAGACAAGAAAACCAGATCACAGATGAGAGGTACAGCTGCTCTTATTGGTCTCCTGTCTGTGGTAATGTGAGTTTGTCTGTCTGATCCAGTAGACACGATAGGGGAAGCATTTTGAAAAACCTGACAGATTTATTGAGTAAAGAAAATAAATAGCAGAAGTGGATTCATGAATGAGCATCAAGTCTCCTGCTTAGAAAACCTCAGACTTCAATTTACTAATATTCGTCAGGATGCCATAACTAACAAAAACAACCTCCAACAAATTGGATTTAGAGAGATTTTTAACATGGGTCTTGAATTTGGTGGTCAGCTGAGGTTTAGTAATTCTAACATTGATTCACATTAGACTCACTCTATAATATACATGCAGAGGTTTCTCTCTTTGAAACATGAAAAAAACAAAAAGAGTTTGTTATACATCACTGAGTTTTCCTAAACAACAAAGTCTGTATAAACAACAGAACTGTGAAACCTGTCCATAGGTGCTGGTGTATAAGAAAATCTACAAATATTTTGCCCGAACAACTTAAGAGGCCTTATTAGATTAGACTCAGCATTATCATAGTTGATAAGTGTACCTCCCACCTACATCACCCAGGTCTATTTTTGTGTCCATTAATGTTGATCAAACAGAGACAACCTGTGGTGAGACAACATTTGACACTGTTCAGGCTCTTCGTGCCTCCCATGATTTGCAAGCAAACAGTATCAACTCTTACAGACCACAAAAAAAATCCACTGTTCCCTCCAACATAATCCCAAAGTTTGTGCTCCTCTTGGAGGACACTGAAGTTTTCTTTGGTTCATACCAGACCTTAATTAATAACATAGACTCAGCCACAATTCCAGCTTATATAAGCAAGAAGTCAGGTGTGTTACAACTTTTGACAATGCCATTCCTGAACGGCTCAGAATACGTTCTGCTATATCTGTTCCTTTTCACAGTGCTTTTTTTCCCTTCCCACTGTCACAAAAGGGATCAAACAGGTTGTTTAATTGTTGGGGTTTTCTGTGTATTATTGACGGGTCCTTATTTTACAATATAAAGTGTCTTGAGGCAACGATTGTTGCCTCTGCACTGGTGTTTCTAAACTATAAAAATAAAATTGAATTGACTTAAATTTCCATCTTGCTTTGGTGCACACATGTCATTAGCAGGGTGAATGTTAAGATGAAGTGTATAAAGAGACAACTGTTATACGATTAATCTTTGTAACTACCTAAAAAAATTCTGCATGTAAAACCACAGCAGCTCCTTCCTGTAGTCTGAAGCTGATGACACTTCTCTGTTCTGGTTTGCACAGAAGCACAGAGTTCATATCGTGAGAACTTGCTCTGTGGTTCCTTGTGTCAGTTTGCACTGAAAAGGTGTCAGATCTGTGGTCGTGCACCTTCAACTAGTTACAGTAGTTGTTGTTTCTCAGTAGCAGTGTTGGGGAAAAGACTGAAAAGCAAAAGCTATTTATTCATAAAAGTTATGAGTTAATCTTTGGAAAACCAACATAAAAATGTATTTTTATCTGTAGCTGCTCTATACTGTCTCCATAACCTGGTACCCCAGTTTTGACCAAACTACGTGGTGTGTTGGATTCAATGTAAAGTAGATACCACAAATGTTCTGTTGTTTGCAGGTATCTTATAAAAATTTTGATATTGCCACACTGGCTGAATGTAAAGTGTGTTTCGAGGCTCGCTTTTTAAAAGACAAGTGACTGTTGATCATCATCACTGTTGATGTCACTCATCACGGATGAAGGTGAAGTCGCTGTCGCTGTTTCAGAAACTGATTCAAGTGTTGGGAAGAAGATGTATAACACACAACAGATGTTGGAGCCTGCTAAAGGAGGCAATAAATCAAGTCTCAATCTGGCCATCACTACTGTCCACTGTCTCCTTAGCTAGTGCTGACCAGTTCTGAACTGACTCACTTCTCGCTGACGACATCGAGCTATTATACACACTAACCTCTAAGGCAGGGGTCCCCAATCCCAGTCCACGAGGGCCGGTGTCCCTGCAGGTTTTAGATGTGTCCTTGATCCATCACAGCTGATTTAAATGGATAAATTA